GGTTATGCTACTTTTTTAACTTGTGGAAAATTTCTTATAATTTGCTCTAATTATAAGTCAAAGGGATTGCGCAGCCCCAACCTGTTACCCAAGTTCAGGTTAAAAGGCCTGCATCAAAGATACGTGATACTATGCGATCTTTGGTCTGCTCTTTGAAAAAGATGTCTCCCTTAAGCTGACAAGTGGAAACCCCCTCTTAAGAATTGTTAATTTTGAGGATTTGGTATAGATGCAAGCTTTTGATCCATCGAATTCTGCTTTGCTTAACTGAAAATGACTAATGTCAAAAAATTAATTAACATAGTTTACAAACGGACGAATCGAGTAAAGGGCACAGACGTATAAAATCTGGACCCGCATTTCTCCTGATTGGGAAGCCACCAGAGGTTGTGTGGCGGCCATTTTTCCGCGCCAAAAAGTTTCTAAACTGATCAACATTAACCTGTGGAAGACTGCCGCGATTTTTGGTACTTTTGTCGAAAATATTCAATAACTTCAGTGCACTACATGCAATTGTTGCTGGAGGGTTATGGTAGTGATTAGTAGGAACAAACTCTTGCAAGGAGAGCGTGAATTTAAGCGCGAAAGATCAGTGAAAGCGAGTACACTGCACATTGATTTTGTCACTTTATGCGCTTATTCTCAAAAAAGGTTTCCCTCAAACAATATTGCTTCCAGAATCAAATTCAACAGATTTGTTTCGGATTTTATTTTTAATTAAAAGAAATTTATTACATACGTCCAAAGGGGTGGATCCGGTTTCGCTCCAACGAAATGAGGGCGCTGTAGCTGTCAGCCGGTCTTATGACATACTCAGTAGGCAAACTAACATTTTCCCTTTTTTGTGGTTTGTAGCTCTGACCCACCCCGATAAAACACCTGCATCTCAAGTTGAAAGGTCAACCACATGATATACTCCAGAGTTTTGTGTACACACGTCACTGTGCCTAAATGACAAGATTCCACAGCAATATGAACATAGGTTTCTGAGTCACCCTCTTTTCTTTAATTTCAATATTTGCTTTCAATATAAACTCAATATAATTGTATGACATACCCGATGTTAATATTTACATGAAAGTTTTATACACAGTACATCTAAAAGAAAAACTTACTACAAATACCAGTTTAGTCCCAATTCATAATGAATACTTAGTTAATACATATATGTACAGAAATGAGACTTCTCTTAAGTGGCTTCAGTGACTTCTAGTCAAGCTGTCAGTGTTTTGTCCCCAAACTGACTGAAACTTTGAACTGTACAAGATTTTCAAGTTCATTTCAATGAACACATAGCCTATTAATGGTTTCTACTTTTTTGTTGGAATAAGTTGGTGAAATGCTGTCAATATCTGATTCTCCATGTGGTACACAGCACCAAAACAGTTTATGTAGATCATACTTGCAGAAAAAGATATTACAGTATACTTAAAAACAATATGTACAGCAATTACTGGCCTCGAGACACGTCCAATTCATTTAATTCCATTTTCAATTCAAACCAGAGTTTAAAAAAAGGAAGTAAGGCCATGGATTTTATCCATTTGCTGTAGTTGGAAATAACATGGGCACCAATGACAGCCACTGGCTAGTAGCTACCATCACTTCCCATAGAAGACTGTGTTACTTCTTGGTGAGCCACTTGATTTGGACACCAACTGTGGCTGTTTGTGCTAGCAATGGTACTGTTAGCAGTGTCTGAATCAATCTGCTATAGTCGACAGTACATTGTAACACACACATCAGTGAGAAGTGGCTGAAGATGCTAAAGCCAGTGGCCTCTACAGTCAAGGGTGTTACTGCGAGCCACAGTCGTAATATTCCCAAGTTGATTGAGTGTGCGAACACTTTCACTAGGTACACATGAACATTAACTACATCCCGTAGTTTCACGTTTATGTCATAACCCATTTTGAAGACAAATGTGTTCATTTTTTTATCTCACAATGTCCCAACTCTGATCTTCCATTTCTACAACGGACGTAAAGGTCAGGCAACTTTGCCCCAACAATAACTTTGCCCCAGCTGTATGTATAATTATGTGAGGTATAACTGAAAGAAGGTGATCATCCTTCCAATCAAAATAGCTTGTAATTGATACCTGATGACATCAACGTGACGTCATACCTGTATGCGCATGTTGGGATCAGGGTTGATGTTCAGCCAAAGTTTGAAGTTGATGTTATACAGTCTGGCACAAAAGCTGTGAAGAATTATTGTCAAGGGAAAAAAAGAACACTGGAATTGAAAGCAACAAACACCTTGTAAAGAACCGACAGGTGATTGGGTTAAGCTCAGTCACCTTACGAAATATGAAGATCCTCTCTAGAGGTTCATGAGTCCACACGAATCTTTCACCTCATGAAGTGTCGACAGCTTCACTGAACTTCTCAGTTTTTTACTTCACCGGAATGCAAAATGGCAGTTTGCATATATGGCACTCCATGTGTCGGTCCATATTCGAGAATGTTCAGTTCAATTTACAGAGATTTTATTTTTACAAAGGATGAATGGACATTTCGCAGTGATCTGAAGAGCCATCTCTATCCAACTCCAGGATATGAGTTGTCTCAAACGCTACACAGACAGTTGTTGTTAGCTGCAAAAATAGATTGAAAGAACCTGTTCCACAGATTTACTGTGACTCACCAGCCTCACAAAACTTTACTGCACGTTCACAGTTCCTGATTACTATGCTATTTTAAACACTGCATGATACAGTTTCCCTGTAATATCAGATCTCAAAATCAAATTCATTCTTCCCACTCATCACAATCTGTAAAATAAGGTAAAGTCACTTGATAAAATAACAAGTTCTGTAAATTTCTTTTGTTTACAAAAATATCCTTACATATGAACTTCATTAAATTTTTCTCTGACTAGAAAAAAGTATTTACATGAATTGTACAACACCTAGTTTTGTACTTCATACATACATGAATGTTCTTTAAAAAAAAAAACAGGTTTGCAAAGATTCCAGCATGAATTTTTAACACTTGTCCATCGGAATCAAAGTTTGGCAAAGTTGGGCAGCTTTGGGTTGTGAATGAACAAAGCAGGGGGAAAAAAGCAAAATCGTAGAACTTGGAATGAGCTGCCACCAAGAAGACTTCACTTATTTCTGAGCACTCCACTGTGCAGGAAACCTTGTGCAATTATTTACACATCCATCACATCCCATGCAGCCAGTGGTTGTTAGGTTGTATTATTCCTCTATCTAGCAAAATAAACATCACCATGCATTTGGAAAGATTGGGATTAATGTACACTATAGAGTGCTTAAGTGAATATGTCAGGTGCACAATCATGTATAAGTCATTAGCGCGAGAACTAGTGTATTCCAATAATTTGCACTTCACTTCCTGGTTCAAAGAGACATCACACATCGGCACTCACGTACATACGTTCTTGTTCAGAAAGACTGGCATTGCTTTTGTGTGCCTTGGTGTGTCAAAATCATGCTCATTTGTAGAAGTCAATGTGGGTTAATGAAAGTCAATTGAACCCTTACTATTTCCAACCCTGCCCTGTTTCTGAATTACCCAAATACGCAGATTATTTTGTGTGATTTTTCAAAGTGAAATATTTAAATTTTGGTTTTTTTTCATGTGTCAAAATGAGAAGGCCTTTCAAGTTTAAATTAAGGGAAAAATTGTCAGTCATTTCAGTCTGAAACTTTTCATAATCATTATCATAATCATTAGTAACATCAAATACCTTAACCGTGTGTTCCAAAAACATTTTACAAGGAAAATATCGACCTGTGTCATTTTTCAGCGGTTTATCAATTCAAAGCTGTCCAATTTCAGCTGGTTTTGATGGACCTTGTCACATTTTCAATCCAATACTACTCTCACTGTAAAGGCATTTTCAAAAGCTCTCATCAATAAACTTTTTTGGCGGAAGGGTGTCATACGAGTCAATGCTTTTTCAATTCAAAAGTTGATAACAAGGAAAAATTACATTGTTAAATCTCAAACCTAAATTCATTTCACTTTGTGAAGCAATTAGAACCTGATGTTTGAGCTGTACATTAATGCCGTACTTCACTGTATAAATGAATACACGATGCAAACATCATATATAATCAAATAAATTCCTTGTCTATTAACATTTGAGTTTACACACCAATTACGACGTATTTCAGGCAGCATGTTTCTTCATTTACATATCTTTACCCCAGAAAGTCCTCAGTCTTTCGCCTGTTGGAGGACTGAGGACTCTTAGGGTTAATTTTTTTCCTTTTCCCCGTAAAGAACTAAATCAAGTCTGGACTCTGTCCAAAATACATAAGAACTACAATGCAGCAATGTGTCCAGGTTTAGGACAACACACACACGCTAACGGGGAAGGGAAAAAACGCTTGTGTATATTGTGTGTACAGGATGTTCACAGTCATGCCAAATGGTTTCAATACAAGTACATATATCTTACAAAATCTACAAGTGGTATTCTATCTACCTGTACAGATATGCATGCACTCCCTAAGCCTCTAGAGTCATTTTCAGCCTCTCGCTTAGCACTAGATTGCTAGAACAGAAATTTTAACGGCGAAAAAAAGGGGAAACTGGAGCAATTCCACAGCATCACACGAAAGGGTTGGAATCTGCATGGCAACCTACATTCCTTTCTGCATGAGGGCTTAGCAGCATTGGAGTATAATTTAGGTAGGACGTTTCTTTACGGCTTCCAACTGTTGATGTGGGACTGCCAGTGAACGATGAGAAATGATGTTGAATGTTTTCCAAGGTGACAGCTGGGAAGGTGGAAAGTGGCATTTGTGAGAAAATGCTGCACTGAGAGTTCGATCCGAACTCACTAGAATGTTTTTTCTTTCTGTTTCCGGACCTTTTGCCAACAGCTGCTGTCCAAAGTCTCATATTCCACTGTCAATGACAGAAGTTTCGCTTCTTATTGAGTGCATCTCTACCCACCACCCTGAAAACAAAAGTCTGAAATCTATACGATCAGCCACGCTGAATGTATTCAACCTTTGACAGTCAGTCTGGGGTTGGGAAGAGGCTCCGCAGCCTGACAATCTGCTGGTAGATCTTGAGCGAGGGCGCTACCTTCATCCCAGTCAGCTTGGCGATCTGGTCCTTGGTCAGCGACATGAACTTCCTGCCGTCAATGTTCTGAGAGTGAAACAGACCTTGACCCGTCAGTCCCAGTGCTGCCCAAAATTTGCCCTGAAGCACCTACCACCAAACCCAAACCACTCCCCACTCCGTGCTCCATTAGGCTTTTTTGTATTTTGACTGAATTGACTCGACCATTACACGCACCTTGAGCTGAGCTGGCCGCGCAATTAAATTTTACCCAAGCAAACCTTCTGGAGAAGTTTACACTAAACTATTTATTTTTATTTCAGTGACAGTTCTGGATCATCTGCATTTAAACCAAATTTTAGGTTCAAACTGGCTGACCTGTGAATTTGTTTCTTAAACTGATTTTTCACCCTTCATTGATGTACATGTACATTTGGAAAACTCAGTGCAATCAGTGTTGTCCAAGGACTTGTGATAGGGAAAGATTCACTCCTTTCTCTGATGGCTTGTGTTCAAAAAGTCACAAGCTTCAGTACTTTGGTTTGAACCTACAACTTCCTGCTTACTCACACAAATATCTTACCACTCGACCACTGAGCTTGCAGGGTCAGCCAGTCTGTTTGAGTCATATGTATCACAGGTACTGCAAGCAAACATTTCTACAAGGTGTTGAGTTGTCTTACCTGTTTGCTGAAGGTCTCCACACACCCTCTCTCTCCGGCATCAATCAGGAACTGAATGACTTCACGGATGCCCCACATCCAAGGGTTCATGATTCCAATCTCAGGCCGCACCATCCTCTGAAAGGTAAACTCCTCCACAATGCAGCCCGGTCCAGATTCTGTAGGGGTGCTGGGCGTGGTTGCTTTACTCCGTGGGGTGGGAGGGTTACTTTTCGATCCACCCAAGGTGCTCCTGGGTGAGGAAGGGCTCGAAGGGACTGAGGTCCCTCCTGGTTTGGTACTAGGTGAGGAAGAACTTCCTGGGGTTGCTTGGAAGCTGGAGAGCTTGAAGTTTGCAGTGCAGGATGCTTGGGAATTGGAGGGCGAGGGAGGGAAACTGGGAGCTGCTTGTTTATGGAGGGCAGAGTACGTGGAAGCAGACCTGGTTAACGCGGGAAAGTTTGAAACTGAGGAAGATTGGGTCTTTGTCTTTGGTGACAGATTAATGGCTGGGGCAGGGGAAGGGTCTGGCAGTGACTTTGGCAATGATGTCAGGAGACTAGCTGGGGAGTAGGGAAAACTGGGGGAAGTTGGTGAAGGAAAGTTGCCAGACGGGGACTGGACAGGCATGGACACACTGGTGAATACTGAAGCGTCTGGGAAACTGTGCGGCCGAACGAGCCTTGGTCGATTTGGTCTTAAGGATGCTGGTTGTATGCCCCGAGGACTGCTCATGACAGCATCTGATCCAGGTGTGGGACTGATGGGATTGGAGGCTGAAGTGAGACTCTTCAGAATCGTTTCCAGTGGGGGGAGTCTGTGCATGATGCTGGGCGCACCAGGGGGAGCTCCTGTCAGTAAAGCTTGCTTGGGGACGGTTTGGGTTACACGGGGATCCTGCTTTGGCCGGGCATTGCCCGAAAGGACAGGCAAGGCATGGGGGTTGGCCACATGCAGCGGGTACCCTGGAGGTAGCATGCTCGGAGCTTGCTCTTGAGGACTTGGCACTGTCTGGGGTGTTCCTCTTGGAAGGAATTGTGAACTGGTCATTCTGTGCGGACTAGGTGCCAGTACTGTTTGAGGGCTGTGTATTATCTTCGGGCTAGAGGCCGTGCAGGGACTCGACACCATCTGTGGACTGGAAGCAGCATGAGGGCTTGGCATGGCACAGGGACTGACCAATGCTGGTGGGTTTATTGGGCCAATCCCTGCATCAGGTCCCTGCCTGGGTAAAACTGGCTCGACCCGGCTGGTCTTGGACTTTGTTGTTGCTGTCACTGAAGCTGTTGGACTTTGTTCTTTTAGTGATGGCAAGTTATGTCCCGAGTGTTGAGCACTGTCAATTATCTTCTTGATGGGATTCTCCTTCACGCTGCCTCTTGGCAATGCAGAGATCGCATCTTGGAAGTGAAGCCTTGAAAGTTGTTCAGCTTTTAGCTTTTTGGATAAGTGATTACCTGACACAGCCTGGTTGGAGGCACTGCATGCTGCAGCATTATCATATCCTCTGGGCTTTGCACTGGAGATATTCCCTGAGGGTTTATCAAATGAGGCACTGTCTGTGGGCTTCTCCTCACGTTGGGCCCTGGCACTGTTGGTACTGCAGGGTCTACACGTTGAGGATCTCTTCTTGGGGATGTTGGCAAGCTGCTGCGGCTTGGGACGAAGGGTGCTGAGGAAGCATTCAGGTGGAGGAATCGACGATACAAGTTAGGATTCTGAAACTGGAGAGTTCTCAAGAGCTGCTGTGCATTCTGCTGGTGGACGTTGAGAGGATGCTTGCGTAGCTCCATTAACTGAGAGGCTGGCACAGGCGAAGGCTGCGCCACTGACTTCGGGATATTCGTGGGACTCGGAATTGGAGGATTCTGATGCCTTGGGAAAGCTAACATTGGGGAACCCCCTTGTAAGATTTGTGTAGGAGGGTGGCCAGGCGGCCTAACAAAGTCTTCCTGTTTGGTGGACTGAGCTAAGGCAAAATTCCTGCCGGGTGAAGCGCTGTCAATACATTCCTGAGATGAGGCATCAGCACCTGGAGTTGGCTGGTTAGTACTTGGCACTGGCACAAGGTTTGGTTTGTTGGCATAAAGTTTGTTCACTGTGGCCGCCTTCTTCACTGTTCGCTCCGTCTGGGCATTGTTCAGGCACGCTTCACCACTTTGATCTGTGGATGAAGACGCTGGTGTTGTGTTCTTTACGAGTGACAACCTCTCTTGAATCTCCTCCTCAGTTTCAAAAGCAAAAGGATCATGATCTGGCAGCTCAACCCTCTTGGGTTTGGAGGGTGTAGAGGGTGTCACATCGCTGGTTGCACTGAGAAACCCGTTGATCAGATGCTTGCTCTCAGGGAAGGAGATTTGCCCTGGAAGACTCAGGAGTTCAGCCAATTTACTAGTCTTCCCCTCGGAGGGGGACTTCTTGTCTGCAGAGTTCTTCTCTGCGGTGTGGCATTTTCTTTTCTTCTCTTTGTCCTTCTTTTTGCTTTTCTTCTCCTTCTTACTCTTCTCTTTATCACGCATCTTCTTGGACTTCTTGGCCTTCTTACTTTTATGCTTTGAGCCACTGGGCTTGGAGCTCAGAAAGGGGAATTTCTCTGACAACTTGAATGCTTCTCTTTGTGACTGACCCGAAGAGGCTGACGACAGAGTCAGGGAAACCCTTTCATTTCCGACTTTTGCATCACTTTTCGTGAGTGTTACTTCTGAGAGGCTGATTATGGGCCCAGAGCTGACTTTGGCCAGGGCAGACTGGAAGCTTGAGTCCGACGTGCTGGCTGGCGGCGACATCCCCAGCGGATCCAGAGGCAGACTGGCAATGGAGCTCAGACTTGTGGCAGGGCCTCCTCCATTGGTCAGAGAGGTGAAGGAGTCCAGGCTGGAGGAGAGAGGCGAATCGGGGAGAAGCCTCATGCCGAGAGGACTCTCCAGCAAAGAAGTTCCATCAAAGCTGCTGCTACCTGTCACTGAATCGCCTGTCTTCTTAACAGAAGAAGAGGACTTCGAGCTGCTCAGATTGGGTGCTGACTGTGAAAGCAGCATTTGCAGGTTGTTCTTGGGATCATCTTTGTGTTTTGACTTGGAGTGGCTTTTGGTTTTGGACTTCTTGTCCTTGGAGGAGGAAGCCTTTCGGTCCTTCTTAGTCTGCTTATCAGATTTGTCCTTCTTGGAAACCTTTTGCAGCTTGGATGGGACGTGATCTTCAGTATCAGAGAATGAGTAGATTGCGTCCACCATGTTTGAGATGGATTCACTTTTGTCAAGATAGCCTGCCGAGCCACTCAATGACCGTTCTGGGTAAGGGAAAAATTCATAGATGCAGTTTATTAGTGAAAACACGCTCAAAAAAATTAAAACTATTTTGTGAGCACTTACCATTTATATAACTCTAAAATTTTCAAGTTTAGAATAATGAATAGCATCTAAAACAGGGAATGTCTTGTTGTACAAGAACAGTGATTTTGTTCATTCTATACAAAGCTTTCCAAAGGACATGTCGCTCTGAGAAGTATACAATAGTGAAATTATTAAAAATTGATGAAGGGATTTTACAATGCATGCATAAGATCACAAGACAAAGAACAAACTTCCTGAAATTTCACAAAAACAAAGACTGACGTCTACTCACTTCGCTTTTCATGAGAATGCAGTGATGAGGTAGATTTGTGTTTCTTGCCGTTCTTCAAAACTGGCGTTGGAAGAATGTGATTTGTGGGGTCTAAAAATGGAACATGGGATAAAGAAATGCGTGAACGAATGAGTAAAGGATGCTGGATACCCCTCCCTCCGTCTCCGTCAAAGTCCACAGCTTTGCTATGGCTTTGTCCAGCATAAACAGAAAACTTTGATAGTACAGTACACACTCTGCACCATGTATATTTCGCTTCAACTGCACAGTCAACATCTAGCCAGAACATTAACCTGCCGTTTTAGGCTGTTCATTTGTTTTACATACATTCTTTACCAGCACAAATCACATCTGTTTACGAGTGCAAATCACAAATGCATTACTCTCTCAACAACTGCCGAGACCCTTTGCTAAAGAACTGCTGTTGGTCAGTCGTGTAGATTTGGAAAAAAGTGTAGAGACTTTCATTTTTACCAGTCATCAAGGTGAAATGAGCTTTTGTGTATACAGAGCAGTGTCAGAGCTTCATCCACTTTGTCTGGACAAATGGGATACATGGTTTGAAACTGAAAGACGTCAGATCGCAATGCCACCCTTTTGCACACAAATGCTCCTCCTCACACAGGCAGACAGGCCTTTTCTTCACTTACCGTGGACCCTGGGAGGCTGCAGCGGGTAGCCCACCATCTCGCACCAGCCCACTGGGTAGATGTCGGGCGACTCGCAGTTCAGCCACTGGTCGTAGCTGTGGTCCCAGCCGTCGAAGCGCACCCGGAGCAGTGGGCCTGCGATCTTCAGGATGGAGGCGGCGCAGATGAAGCCGGACTCAATCAGGTCCACCGCCTCCACCTTCTGACCCACGCGGAATGGCGGATCAATCTTCTTCTGGAAAGGTGAGGAGGACAAAGGTGAGGAGGTTACGATTTAACGGGAACAGAAAGTTAGCGGCAGTTATGCACGTACTTTAGTTTTTCAACGTCACTTCAGTGATCGGGGTGGTACTGATTTATCATTAACAGTTTCATGGGCATGGCAGTTTATCTGGAATCTTCTGGAAAGGAGGCTAAGGCGAGGAAGTTATGATTTGACACCAACAGTCAGTGGCGGTTATTTGCGAATTTTAGTCTTTCAGTGACATAAAACAATCAGCATAATGCTAATGCGTAAAAGGTTTCACGAGCATTGAATATCGACCTTCTTGGGGGGGGGGTTAGGTAAGGAGGTTGCAATTTGACAGGGACAAACTGCTGCGGGTGGTTATTCATGTTCCTGGGTGTTCTCACCAAGTGACAGAAACCTCAAAATCTTGCCAAACGGGCAATCCAAGATAAACACATTTGAAAGTATCAGTCTTTTCAATACACATTTTCGATCACTTTTATGATATGATTGACGAATTTTGTTTACAAAGTTACGAAATGTAAGACTTTGAAAATGCCAATCTATGCTCAGTTGCAGATACATTGTCTTCATTAAAGAATAATTCATTAAGACAAATTAATGAAAGTTTTTTTACTTCATGAAAACAGAAAAACCCAGAGGTCTTTTTTTTCCTATTGCATCATACACACTCTGGTCACTTCGTGAAAAAATACGCGTGGAAAAAATTGTTACATTTGTTTCATTTCAACAAGCATGCAGGTGTTCATGTACAACATCGTTCTCATGCATGCGTACACACAAAGACTCGTGCAGGGATTGTGTATATTGTCTCTATTTTTGCCCTGCGAACGATGTGACTTTTTGTCATTTTGTGAAAGCAGAGAAAGTCAGAGACCAAGCTTTTTGTCAGTTGTTTGTTTACAGTTACTAAGTAAACAACAGTTTGCTTCGAAACTCTGCTAATTCGTTCTTTGGATCAAAGGAAGTAAAATGGTAAGAAAAACTCCAAATTGAAAATTTATTGATTTTCAGGATTTTTGTCACAACACGCTCCAGCTTTTCAGAGATATAAAAATGACCGAGGCTGTTCCTTGTCCACTATTTCACCGATACCTTCATGACAGAATGATAACTACCAATATGGTGTGCAAATACTTTACAACTCTCTGTGGGGGGGTGCAAGGAGACATGAAGATAAGAAATTTGCTGAACCACATTACAACTTGTAGAGACAACACCAAAAAATAATACTTAACAAAATACAAAGCGACATCTGTTTTTTTTTCTTGCTACAGAGGAAAAATCTACAGATGGCTTCCAAGGAGAGAAGCAAAGTGAATTGATACTTAAAAGTCTGGTAGAATATTTACAAGAAGGATACCCCGCTTTTCTGATCCGTGTAAGACTTGTGCAAATTAAGAATATGGGTCTTAATTCCAATTATGCATCATAAAACACCATCAGATGATGTTTGAACAGCTAGGTCCAACTTTATGGCACTGCTTAACAATTAGCAGAAAAGTAGTGGTTACAATAGTGGAGAATTTCACTAACCGTAAACACATTTCATGGTGATGCTTGGTGAGTTGTGCTTACGGCTGTGTGCGCGCAGAGATTTCTACTTTTTTGTGACTACGTAAACCAAAGTGGTATTAACTGCTTACAGTCTTCATGAAATACACTGGCCTCTGTTGGCATAAAGTTGTGTGTTCAGCAGCGGAATGAAATTAGGCCCCGATGAAATTGGTGCTTACCTGGTGGAAGAGCTCCACCGGTGCAGCTATTGAGTTGGTTGCTTTGAGGTAGTCATCCCAGTCAAACTTGCCTTCGTACCCTGCAACAAATACCAGAACAACAATGCGACAATGACGCTGGGGAGTTACACAAAATGCAATGGCAAGAGGCCTGCACTAGTATGTATGAAGCAGATCCATTTCACTGAGTCTTACGCAAAATTGAGATGAGGAAAACAGACGTTGACCTGCTTCAGTGAAGAAAAGAGGGTAATGTCTGTGACTAGCATATTTGTTGTCAGGTAATATTGGAAGTGTATTTCTGGCAGGTTAAAATGACACTTAGTGGGGTGCAAAAGGGTTGACCCCTTCTCTGAATGACAGATTTCTGGTTTTACAACAGGCTGTGCCATGCCGCACCGAGTCCCAAGTCACACCGTGGATGATTTGAGAAGTGGTATGACAAAATCATGAGCAGCATGACCCCTTCCACATCCCGCATATAAAACCAAAAGCTTCAACACTGACTCCTCTGTCACTTGTTGCTGCACCTGCTGCTGTACATGATTCAGAATCAGCCAGCCAACTCTGTCAAGTTGAAAGGTGTGACTTTTGCACTGCTTTGAAGCAGGAGGTTGAGACTTTTGAGTACCACTCAAGGAAGTCTGGTTTTTTCTTTTTCTCAGGCTCCCACGCAAAAAATGCACCAAAAACGGGATGCTCGTGGTATAAATACAAAGGGTGGGAATTTACATTTAATTTGAAAATAATGGAAAACTTTCCCACACCGTTTAAATGTATCAAACACGTAAACGTTCCACCCTTACCACAGTGTCATTGAAAACTTTAAACACAACAAATTGTATACAATGAAAATAGCTGGCACAAAGTTCAGGTGATGAATTCATGGTATTCCTTTGACGTGACCAAGCAGTAAAGTGTTCCGAAAATCAGATTACATTTTACAGGCATCCTTTACAATAAAAAAGAATGCCAGCTAGTGTCAATCAAAAGTCAAACCTCTAAATGTTTGAGAAAATCTGTAAACAGATTTTGGAACTTTTTTTGTTTAAACATTTAAACGTGTAAACGTCCCACCCTTATAAAATACTCCAGCAAAGGGCAAATCTCGGTATCAAGTTGGATTTCTTCAACAGGCCCTCCACATGGGGAGGCCTGGCCCTGTGTGACTTACACACAAGTGCTTGAGTGGAAGTTTACACTGCATATGCCAGAAGTGGACAGCTGTGGGTATGAATCACCCATATTCATCTCACAGCAACTTCATACAGTAGTGATCACACACCCAGGTCTGGACATCATTGAGGCATGCCATCACTGGGGTCAATAGACGACATTCCTAAAATCATCACAGCTCCCCGGGAGTGTAAAGGTTAGTGCTGCTGTTTTAGACACCAAAGGCTAATTAGACAAAACAACCTTTGCCCTCATAGTTGCCCATTTACACTCCTGGGCTGAGTGAGGCTAGTAGGGTAAGGTGACTTGCCCACGGTCATACCATACAGCAAGCTACTTGATGAGAACCCCCACTGATTCCATCAGGGGTTACAAACGTTAACCATTAGATTACACGTCCTTCAAGAAACGTCCTTGTACCAGTGCAGATTTCATGGTTGTCAATTCGGTTTGATAGAGGTGGCTTACCTCTGGGAGGGACCAGTTCGATCTGGTGGTACTCGCAGAACCCGATGGGCAGGAGGGAGGAGGAGGTGGCGTGGTAGCAGAACCAGCTGGCCACGTCGTGCAGGCAGCCGTCGATGGCGATCATTAGGTAGCCGTCGCCCAGCGTCTGCACCACCGTGGCCACACAGATGCTGCCCAGCTTGAGCGGGTCGATGGCCTCCAGCTTCATGCCCACGCAGAAGTTCTGCTCCTCGGGAATGGGCTTAGGCTGTGGAAAGAGCGAGGCTTGACAGATCAGCTGAGGACCATGTTGGCTTTGCTAAAAACTGGTTACCGGCCAGAGTATTTGGTTGGTATTTCCTTAGGACGTGACAGTGTCGTAACCCAGTCTTTGAAAGTCCTTCCAAGTCCATCCTTACTCCATCACAAGTCATCCAGTTTTAAGGCTGACTCAAATTTGGGTAAATGCCAAAACGAAGCCAATATGACATCACAAAACATTTGCAGAATTGAGGTAACTTAGTTGAAATGGGTTCAACTTTTCAGCGAATATGTATTGGAAGTCACAAAACTGCATTCATATTTGCTATCAAGCCAAGTATGAACCAGCCTATAAGATGAGTCAAACCCTTTTCAAATGAACTTTGTCACTGTTTGCCAGTTTATTTATGACTGGTCCTGAAAGGACTTGTGACTGAAAGGAGACGACTTGTGATGGACTCGACTTTAACACCAGTACACGAATACTCATTCCAAAGAGTCAAGCAGCAATTCCATTTGGCAAATTTCATGAAGGTGCTATGCAGACACACCTGGGGAAAAAATGGGTAATACAGCTTGCGTAACCAGCACCAAAACTGACAGTCACGGGCATCGTGAGGGGAGAGGGCAAGAGGCACACTGGCTCCCCCCCCCCGGAAAACAAAGTTGAACAATAAAAAGGAGAAATGAAAAACAAAAAAATGTGAAAGAAATGATGCGCGCTTTGTCTCCTCCGCCCTGGATGTTTGCTCCCCTTGCAAAACGGTGCTTTGAGTTCCCCAGAAATATCTTGGTGACGCCCGTGCAGACAGTCTGCCTGATGACTTAAGCTACAAACTCACCAAATGGAAGATTTCCCAGGGTACATCACGGGGACCACTTTTCCTTTTCCGTCCCTTGTCCAGCGCTTCAGCCTTGTATGCTGATAAAGAAATTAAATGAAACTGCACAATACTGAGATTCATCAAGATGGACAATGTTTTTGTCGATTGGCTTAACAAAAACTCAGCTTGAGAGAAAATGGCTACATTGAGGTAATGATACAAAAAATTTGAAGTCAGAAAGTCACGACGTGAACATTGCTCAGGGACACCTGCTCAATATAATCTAAGGCCACTCATTGTTAAATCTCTCTGTAAACTCATCATGATACAAACTTAAAACTGCAAAAGCCATTCACGACATCAACTTCTGATCATTAAAAATTCAATTCATTTCGTGTTCACCAAACAAAGGTGATAATTTTCAATGTACAGTTATATATATCATTGCACAATGCCTAGGAAAGTACCAAAGCTATAATTCTTGTTAAATTACGCTATTAAAGGGGATGAAAAACATTAAAACTTGTCATCTCCTGGACACAAAAATCACAGCTCAAGTAACTTTATGTTGTGCAAGGCAAACTGAATTACCTGCAGTGGCAACCAGAGGGTGGTGGACCCGCTGGGACCAGCCCACTGGGTGGATGAGAGGGGAGGTCTGGTGGAACCAGAAGTCTTTGCTAGTGTCCTTGCAGTTCTCGTATTGCACGTAGATGCGGTCCGCCACCACCTTCTTGATGGTGGCCACGCAGGTGCTGGACACCTGCCGCTTGTAGACCACCTCCAGTTGGGTGTCCTTCTTGAATGGGGAGGTCAGGCTCTCCTCCAGCTGCAGGGCGGAGAGATCAGAGGGCAGCCATTGATAAAAATTTTAACACTCAAGTGGTCTTCATTTTTTTAAAATCTCTCTTGTATGTGTGGTTCTGAAAAGAACCAGAGGGCACTCGTCGTTTCGGCCAGTATGCTCTGCCCGATGTCAGGACACTGCTCTCCTTCATTCTGCATTTTTTGACAGTCTCGTTTCGTCATGTCAACCTGCTTACTTTTCTGAGTGTGATTCAAAGCAATTATTCTAAACCACAAAAGCTGAGTTCTTATAAGTTCTTTAAATGCTGTCCATACTTATGAGAAATATTTTGGTCAGTCTTTTTACCTATTTTATTGCACTCTCAAAAAGTATAAATGTATTTGAAAATGTGTACACAGTAGTTCAGGACCCATTTTTGGAATTTTTTCCCCTTTTTTTGCTCAATACAGTTTAGAACATGTTAACCTTAAATACATCCATAAATAATTGTTTTAAAAGGATTTCTGTCATATTAATATTAAATTGTAAACAACTGTGCTTCAGTGACATGGACTGTGGGATTGGTACAAACAACGAAACCTTCCATTCGATGCAACTAACCAATCTGCTATCAACATGAGCCCACCTTGTGCTTGTCAATGCTGAATGTTGGACTCCCAGAGTGAGCCACCCTGGTGGTATGCTCTCGCCAGTTACTGCCCAGCTTATCCGAGACTTCTGCAGTCAAAAAAAGAAAAGTGATGGAATGCATCAGTGAAACTCTTCTCAGCAAAATGGTACTTCTCAGACCAAGAAGTGTGAGGGTCTTACAAAATGTATTCAGGCAGTGGGCATGGTTTCATGAGCACCGCTTTACATTTTACTGCATGTGTTTTTGGGGGGGTTTTTTTTGGTCCAGAACAACAGCTAATCTCCCACAAGGAACATTTCCTTGTCTTTTTTTTTAAAAGTGTGACCGGTTGAAGACCCAACATTGGAGGTTGTTTGCTGGTTTAACAGAGAAAACTGACCGGAGGATGCTTTGAACCGGCAACCTTACAATCAAAGACCAATCCTACACAACCAACTGTCCGAGTCTGACATGCACACCCTTACAATGAGTGACTTGCACATCTTGTGCAAACAGTATTGGAAGGTACCCCACAAGGCCAGTTTTAATCCTTGTGGGGTACTAAAGTGGTACCCAAGAAGAATTTCACGAAATAGATATTTCAAATTTACTCAAAAAGGAGGAATTTTCAAGTGCCATTCATCTGTCGCAAATTGAAGTGTTTTAAGGGACATACGGTTGAAATTTCAACCCCGGAAACTGAATTTGGTTGAAATGGCAGTGATTTGAAATTTTTTCCATGTTGTGTGGGAGTTTTTGTACACGAGAACAAGGGAAATACCCCACAAGTATACACATGTAAAGGTGTGTGTGCTGACGGTGGGCATGCTGTGGGCATGTTATTTCCTTTAAGGTTCCACCGTTTACAGACACTAAAACCTGATGACGACACCCACGTACCTTTAGGAGGTTTCAACTGCTTGCCCACCTTCTCAGAACCGTTGACTGGATAGCACTCTGCTTTGCATAGATGAATCCAGAAATCATGGGCACTGTCCATACCATAACCCTCAAATCTCAACTTGGCTTTATACCCTGGAGAGAAAGAAATGTACAAGTCATCCCAAATTCTTCCATACTATAAAATACTCAGAACCACACATACAAAAGAGATATCCTTGCACGGTTCCACCGCAGACCTTCACTTTATTTGTCATCTTCACCATGCAAAGCTTCACAGATCATATAACATACTCCTCGGATCCCAACCAAAAAGTCCCCAAATCCAGTGTCATTTAATCGTCACCAGCATCACAACAGGTGGCATACAGATGTGTGGGGTTGTTCTCTTGGACATTTGAAATCTACACCGGCATTTCGGACGAACTTTACGTTTTAGCTTACTTAGCTCACTATGGCCACTAAAGGAGTGTCTCAAAGTTCGGAGCGGTAGGAACGTTCCCATAGAACGCCGTGTTCTCATTCCAGAACGGTCGGCTGTTCCATTGGGAAAAGTCGCGTTCCACATGGAGCACTGTGTTCCTTTGTGAGAATGGTCCGACGGGAACGTGTTCTAGTCGGAACGTTTTCATTCGGGTACCTTCATAATCACCCATGTACAAATCTCAGCCCAGTGTCAAAAAAACGGAGCCTGCTATGACAAATGAGGGTACGTCAACTACTTTGCTTTTATGATCGGCCTAATTTTGACTAAGAATTTGAAGTAAACTGAAGACGGAAATAAGATGCGGCAAAATTGGTTAAATCTGACAATGGAAATTTTATTTTGACTGAAATACAAAAGTGAAAAGCATTGCGTGCTGACGGCATGCAGAGTATAATCGATGTATCACTAGGCTATAGGCTGCAATACCAATGCTGACCTTGACTGCATTAGTCACGTCATTCAATCTCTCTAGTGATTTTACGAGACCTAACCCCACACCTGTTCAATTACAGGTTAGGTTTCCAAATTGTTTCAGATATGATGGAATACTTTCATATGAGTAGAAGCATTAGGATGATAAAGCCTTCTACCAAGCAAGCCTGCTGATGAATGAAACACTCGCGGGGACAGACATTAACACTAACAAAATAACATTACCAGGGTCCAGAAATACTCTAAATTCACTGCATCGTAACCTATATGTCATGGTGCATATGGAAAAGAAAAAAAAAAAAAAACGGGAGAAAAGTTAACCTTCACGAGGAGTAAATCTCAAAATGCTGCGCTCTAGCTGCCATGCTTCATGGGGTCTACAAAATGAATGTCAGGAATCTTTCTTCCCGATTGCGAATGTAACAGCGAGACCGTTCAACTGGGAACACGCGTTCCCGACAGAACGCCGCCTGGAACGGTCTGTGCACAAAGTAGCGCTGACCAGTGGGAACGGTCTAACGAAATAGGAACGTCCCCAATATTTGAGACGCTCCCTAAACAGAACGTCCACTTTGGACACTGCCTGACTTCAAAGATGGTGGGCCAGGGAGGTCTGGGGAATGTGAATGAATGACAGTGCAATCTCTAGCCCCAACCTTCCAAAATCTCCAGAATCCCTGCAACATGTGAGTGGAGGAGTTTCGATGGATAAAGCCTGCATAGCATAGCCAGTGACTGGTTGGAAAGGATGTACTGTGTCAAGGTCTTGGGCTGGACCTTATGTTTTTTTATGCTCAGCCTTGCATGGATATAGACCTAGATTATTCTGCAAAGTACCTGTACTACTCCAAGATATCACACACAAATTCTAACCATATTGGCATTACTTCCAGAGGATTTTGGAGGATTGAGGCAACGGTCACGCCTCCAAAGAAATGATGGATGATTTTGAATGTTTGGGGCTGCATCTAATTTCTACAGGGAGACAGTCTGAGGGTTTTTGCAGGTTTCAGGATGCATCTGAGCCACATGGTTAAGGGAGTTGAGGATGAACCATGCAAACACGAACAAGATACAAGGTGGTCTTGGACTCGCCTGCTACTTTGATGATTCTGGCAATCCAGAAGCAGTCTTTGGTGTCCTCGGGTTCCCGATTCTGCACCTCAACGAGAGCGCCAATCAGGTTGGCCTTCCACTCCTTGGCAAGGGGAGCCTGACAATTTTAAAAGGAAGAATTCTAAGCTGCTTCAAAAACTTTCAGTGGAACATGGCCACACTGTACTTCTGTTCCACCGTAAACAGAAGTTCCATTCCATGGTACATGTTAATGGAAATTCCACTGAACCGTCTTGTTATTGGTGGTGCTGCCATGCAGGTCTTGACACAAATCTTTTTACGAACTTATAAGTGATACAGCAATTTATTTAGGAGGGGATTTACTTTTTTCTGATTTGGTTTTTATTATTCATTAATTCGTGTTTTTTTTTAGGATTTATTCAGGTGTTAAATTAAACAAATAAAGAATGCTTCAAAGTTGTTGTGCAATGGACAGATTAATTTTATTCTGCAGCAGGTGGAGTAAAACTTTTCATCTCTTACCTCATCAATTTATTCTTACCACTGCACCCATTTAAATATTTATAACATGTACAATATAATGTGTTAAGTGATGGTGAATATTCTCATCAGCTTCAAAACAATGCAGTCTTGATTCTGGTACTCAGAAAGATTGAGAGTTTCTAAATCTACTCACATGATGGAAGCATTTCACTGGGGCAGCCTCTGCATTTAGACTCTCCAGATACGAAGGCCAGTCAAACTGCTTGATGCTCTCGGTGCCATCTACCGACCCGTTGGTGCACACATGGGATCGCTTGCTGTCACTGTCCACCATCTGGGAGGAGGGGAACAGCAGCCGCGCCTTCTGGTTCTCAAACAGCGTGGGAACCTGTTGGGGACAAAAAGGGGAGAACACTGAGGGGCTTTGTAATTACTAGGGTGGGAGGAGGGTGTTAAAAGTGGAGAGGAAGGGAACGGAAGTGTTCTCAGTGAACATTCTCAAAGGAATAGGAACAATGTAGAAGAATCATGAACACTGTGGACAGAAGAGCACTGTGGAAGGAACAGGAGTATTCTGGAAGAAGCAAGAGTGTTCTGGATTATGCAAGGAACAGGAGCATTCTGGAGGGAACAGGAATATTCTGGAAGGAACAGGAGTATTCTGG